AGACCCCCCAACTTGAATGGATGGCTTGCCATGGTTCCAAGAGCTAGTTTAATTCATTTTATATTTTGAAATTGAGTCATAGGACAAGCCGTACTATCAAAGGGGATACTAATGGTGTGCTGAGTGGAACTAAGTGCTCAAAACTCCATCTACATATCAAATAATCCTAGCCATAAAAGGCCAACCGGACTGAATTCTTATTTCCTCTGGCCTACGTGGAACCTTCATGGCCTGACGCGGAGGCTCCGGGTTTGACAGACCCGATTGTTTTGTGGGGTGATGTCGGTGGTATTTATACCATAACCCTTCGCCCCAACGGTCATCTTCTTCCTCATTCACTCAGACTCGCAACACAAGCTCTCTCTCTCTCTCAAAGCTCAGTGCTCCCAACTCTCTTGCTCAAATCTTTGTGATTCCTTGAGAGATTTGGCTCTAGAGAGTGTGAGAAAGCTTGAGAAGATCCTTCTCCTCCGTTCTTGTGCACTTGGTGAAGCCCTAGCTGCTTGGTGTGTTCGTTACTCTTGGAGCTTGGCTCCTAGATGGCTAGTGGTCGCTGATAGCTACCAATCCGCTGTGGTTGAGCATCGAAAGTTTGTATTACCCTTTTGTGACTTAGTGGAACCCTCTAACCTATTGCCTTAGTGATAGGCTAGAGAAGAAGAGCGAGTTGAAAGAGACTCCATAGCCTTTGTGGCTAACCTCAACAACGTGAATGTAGACAAGCTTTTGTGGCGAGTTGAACCATAGGATAAATCCTTGTGTTCACTGTGATTGCTGTTGTTGTTGCTATTACTTGTGATTTGGGTTGATTTTTAGGGTTTGCATCCGATCTACGAATTCCTCATCTTCTAGGTGCAACCGACTGTTTGGATAGCTCAACATACTTCCTAGGAAGGTTGGTATTACATTCGATCTATTTTTCATTCGTTAAATTCCGCAGTAGATCGATTTCATACTCTGATCCCCGGAGATTCCATGCTTAGTCCTAGAACCTCTGTGCCCTGGAACCTCTGCGTTCAAACCCGGAGGTTTCGCGTTCTGACTGTTTTCATAAGTTGATTAAATTTTAGAAAAAGACCTATTCATCCCCCTCTAGGCCACTTGCTAGATCCTTTCAATGGGCCACACTACTTCATCATACATGTGGGCATGGTGTTACGTCACATGCATCACCGGCACATTAGCATCACATTGTGAAAGGATCACAGTGCCTAGAGGGGGTGAATAGGCATAACCTAAAACTTAAAAACTTTGCAACGGATTAAAACTCTAGGTACTGAGTAATCTCAATAAATCATCGAAGGGTGCCACAAGTGCTCAAAAGATGGATCTTACTTTCGGAGTCACAAGCTTGAAATTTCCCACTCCAATCTCACTCACAAGTTTCTATATCTAAGCTTAAGCGAGGGAGAGTGAGAGAGGACAAAAGCAATGAAGCTTTTTGGCTCAAAGTTGGTGTTCAATTCAAAATGACAAGAGAGATAGAAAGGTGAGTGAGGGAATAAAAATTCTCCCCACCAGCCAACAGAACCATTGGGCTGAGATTTGTAGCGTTGAAGATGAAGAGGTTTCATTAAGCATGAAATAGTGAAATCACGAAAGGAGGTGTTGTTTTTAAAAGTAAACACAAGTGGTTCTAAAAACATATGAGATATGAGATGGTAGCTATTGATAAGTTTGCAATTAGAACTGCATAAGCACTATTTGTGCTAATATTTAGACGTGGCAATATATAGTATTTGTCTTTTGTTTGGGAATTGGATAAACATTTTATAGCCAAGTAATCTCAATAAATTTTGTTGATCCTATGAACAATATAGGTAAATTAAACATGATACAAAAGCTAAAATAAGCATGTAACTCAAATAGTTGAAAGGTGAATTCTACATGAAACTTAACTCTAGCTAAGTAAGAATAACACACTCTATTTCCTTGTCGTATCACACACCATGCTTGTCACTATGGTCTATCGTGAGCAAGGTTGTAGCATCAAGATCCTAGTTGGGATCATTTTTTGCTTGACAATATCGGACCATACGATCCGGATCCTATTGGATTTTAAGAATTATATATTTTATATAGTATTTGCAATATGTTGTAAATATTTAAGTTTATAGTATTGATTTTTATTAATTTATTTGACCCTTTTACATTTAGGTGCAATTCTTGGCATTTTCTCAATGTTTCTTAACATAAAAATAGTATTTTATCACAACTAGATCATTCAAAGAGTCATACATATACAAAATATTGTATAGTATCGTAGGATAGTAGGACCGGGATACTATGAAATTATTTTACGTAGGAGTGTGTGAGACCTACATATAGGATGGGGATACTATAGACATTAGGATGGTAGGATTGATATTGTTTTGACTCGGTAGGATCATAGTACTGTAAGATTCTAGGATATGGATCGGATGCTGACAACCTTGGTCTTGAGTGTTATATGGGGTTGTTACCATATCTTATACCAATTGATAGTCTAATCATGACTCTAGTCAGTCAAAACCATCCATGAAACAAACATCATGTTAAGAATGTTACAATTGGCACCATGCAATTAATTCTACCTCTTTTATGCTATTTCAAGTTAAAATCTTGCACTCCATGCACCATGCTCTCACTCATATATGGAACTTGAGATACCCTGGGGTTGTTGTGGAGATTTGTAGCATTGAAGATGAAGAGGATTCATTAAGCATGAAATAGTGAAATCATGAAAGGAGATGTTGTAATTGAAACAAAGACAATTGTTTATAAAAAAACGTACCAGATGGTAGATGTTGATAAGTTGGCAATGAAAACTACATATAAAATACTTAAACGATATTTGTACTAATGTTTATATGTGTCTATATATGGTGTTTGTAATTTCTTTAGGAATTTAACTAACATTTTAGAACAAAATAATATCAATGAATTTTGTTGATCCTGCAAGAAATATAGGCAAACATAATATAAAAGCTAAAAGGAGCATGTGACTTAATAGTTAAAAGTATTTCTTTCCCATGTCATGCATCGTACTTGGTCCAACCATGAGTGCCATCTAGAGGCATTAGACATGACTCTACTAAATCAAACCATACACGAATCAAGCACATCATATTAAGAATGTTACATGTGGCGATTAATTCTACCTCTTTTAATCTAGCTTCATTTCGAGTTAAAATATTACACTCTATGCACCATACTCATTCATATATGGAACTAGATGATACCCCGCACGTTAGGATTTTTATAGTGTTCAAGACGAAGAGGATTCATTAAGCATGAAATAGTGGAATCATGAAAGGAGATGCTGTCATTGGAAAACAAACATAATTGTTTCTAAAAAATATTAAATGGCAGTTGTCGATAAGTTGGCAACTAGAACTACATATAAAATATTTAAGCATTGTTTGTGCTAATATTGAGGTGTGGCAATATATAATGTTTGTCTTCTATTTATAATTTAACCAACGTCCTAGAACCAAATAATCTCAACGAATTTTGTTGATCCTATGAGAAATATAGGTAAACATGATATCAAAGCTAAAATGAACATGTGACTTAATAGTTGAAAGGTGATTTCGACATGAAATCTAACTATATCTAAGTAATAAGTATACTAAATTCTATTTCCTTACCATATCATGCACCGTACTTATCATCCTGATGGATAAAGACATTGTCAACCTGGTTTGATAAAACAAATGCATAATAAAAACAATATATTGAAGACATTAGCAACTTAAGTATGTCATGGTAAGCATGGTTTGCAATATCAATTTTGACTACGATATATGATAAAACAACATATTTGAAGACCTGGCAACCTAACACCATGTTATATGTGTTGCCGATTAATCCATTCAATCACATGAATGGTCCGTAGGTGTTAGCACATGCATTACACTACAAATGTATGAAACAAATTTATAGTGGCAATATATAAATCGCCTCCAAAACACACACAAAAACATTTTTAGCCTTCCAATAGTCAATATACTTGTGCACTTTGTTTAAGCCTGGACGATGGACCATCGATATACATTATAAACTATGCTAAGTAAAGAACTAAGATTGGACAAACATGCACAGACAATGGGTATGATTTAATTTTTTCTACCTCTTTAGCTTCCTCGTTCTCATAGATAGATACAGTTAGCAATATTTTCACTGTTTTAAAAGTAGCTTTGAAAAAAAAAATCTATGCACACAATAAAAATATTGAAAAGACTACAATAAACTTTGCATCTACTAACATACATTTAGTCATCCAGATCAGGATGTCACATTATCCACTAACATTAATTTATAATTGTTAATCTCTTTATATAAGCAACGATACGTAGTCTGATTTTGTTTGGAATTACCAGCAATTTCCGTGGCCACCCTCGATGTATGCTTGTGGTTTGGTATTGTCAAATACATGTGCTTATCGAGGGTTACGGAGTAAATTCAGTTCTGCACTTTCATCATGATACTCATGATGTTTGTATAAGCTAAAAAAAAGTACTACGTATTTGTTTTGTTGAATTTGGACGGATGCCCTCCTGGGTCCTGCGCTTGAATAGTTTCTAGAGAGTTCCTGAACATGGTGGTGGTTTTCGATCCAGATTTCAGACTTGAGAAGTAGTAGACCAGGCTAACGAGAGGAGCAGCACAGTCTAGGTGGGGCCCATAGGCAGGCAGCCAGGCAGAAACGTGAGTGCTGTACTGTATACCGAAATATCGAGGGAAATTTCGTGAATGACTGGAGTAGTCTACTGGTTTCCTTGGGAAGCAGAAGGGAAGGTCGGAGGAGGACCCAAGCAAGGGGAAGGGGAAGGGGAAGGGGAAGGGGGATTTGTTGGGATTTTCCGATTCAATTCAATCCATCAATTCATTCAATTCCATCCAATCCAACCAACGAACCAACCAGATATAAATTGAGGGAAGGAGAGATCGGATTGATTCCCCACCCCACCCGACCCCAGATCCACGAATCCCACCAAGCAAACCCTAATCCGTCGGCCATGGCGTCCTCCCCGGCGGCGCTGCGCTTCTACTGCCACCAGTGCGACCGCAACGTCTCCATCGCCCCTCCCGCATCCCCGGACGCCGACGTCCTCTGCCCCCGCTGCGGCGGCGGATTCGTCGAGGAGCTTCCTCCCAACCCAACCCCCCCGCCTCCGCCCCCGTCCGCCGCCTTCTTCGCCTCACCCTCCTTCGACCTCCGCCACCCCAGCGACCTCTCCGCCTTCTTCGGCCCCACCTCCCCCGAGCCGCTCGCCCAAGGCCACTTCGACCCCTCCAACTTCCTCCACGACCACTTCGGCGGCCTCCTCTCCGGCGGCGCCACCATCCAGATCGTCCTCGAGGGTGGGCCCGCCCTCGCCCCGCCCCTGGGCCTCAACCTCGCCGACTACTTCGTCGGCTCCGCCGGCCTCGAGCAGCTCATCCAGCAACTCGCCGAGAACGACCCCAACCGCTACGGCACTCCTCCCGCCGCCAAATCCGCCGTCGCCTCGCTCCCTGATGTTGCTGTGTCAGCCGACATGATGCAGGCCGACGGCGGCGCCCAGTGCGCCGTCTGCATGGACGACTTCCACCTCGGCGCCGCCGCCAAGCAGCTCCCCTGCAAACACGTCTTCCACAAGGACTGCATCCTCCCGTGGCTCGACCTCCACAGCTCCTGCCCGGTCTGCCGCTTCGAGCTGCCCACCGACGATCCCGACAACAACCACACCCACCAGCAGCAGCACGCCGCGTCTCCAGCTCCCGCTCCCTCGGCCACCTCCCCCAGGGTGGCTGAGCGGAGGTTCAGGATTTCACTGCCCTGGCCTCTCAGGGTCGCCTTTGGTGCTGCCCAGGCAGAGAGCAGCAATCCCAACAACGATGACGCGCCTCCGTCTGGGTCTGGCGGCAACGATAATGACAACGATGCAGGTGGTGGCCCTCAATCTCATACTGGATACGATGATCTTGACTGAGGCCTCAATAGCCATTCTGGGAAACAAAGAGGTATGATCGAGAAACCGACAAATTTCAGTTATTACTACTAGGGTTCATTGCTTGCTGTTATCTGATCCGTGTCACCTAGTTCAGAAATCAGGAAGCACCATGCATTTACTATTGCATTTGATTGCGTTTAACGGTTACTGGCAATATCTGTAGCCACACGCCCACCCTATGCAACCATTGACTGCCAAAAGAAAAAGAAAAGGTTCTTTTATGCCATCCTTGTTCTTTTATTGCTAACCCTGCTTTTAAGAAAGCGTATTACAAGTGAATGGCCATCCATGTTCATTTAGGGCAATCAATTGGATGTAACTTGCATGTTGTAACTGGTCAGATTAACCGTTGGTAGAAGCCTGCAACTGTCACTGGACCGATCCGTGGCAAAATAACTAAGCAGGCGCTTCCATTTCTCCTTTTTGATTATCAGTGTGTATGGAAGCGCCATTGATTTAGATGTCCTCGAGTCTATGGGCCTTTTGTTTATCTTTCTTGGTTTGGTTCAAGCCTTCATACTCCATTGAGATATAGTCATCAAAAGGGTGTGCATTTGTTTAACAGTGCTTGATTTGGTTGTGGCAACCTGCAAGCTGCAGTAGGTTGCCATTTATTGACCATTATGTCAGATTAATGTTGTCTGATGTTGAAAATTAGTAATTCTGTATGGCATGATGTTGTAACTAGGCTAAAGTATATGCCAAAGAAAATCGATAATACCATTGTGTACCAAACTAAATGTGCATCAGAAGCATGGAGTCTTTTAGGAAACGTACAGAACCTCTGCTGACTATTGATGGCTTAAGCTGTGTATGTGTTATCCATAAGCTATCGACAAGCATTTAAGGACAATGGTTGGCTTGTTGAGTTGTGTCCCGGACAATGCTTTTCCTTGGATATTTTGTCAGATTTTGGGTTTACCCTGTGCCCTGTTATGTTTGTGGAACTTTACTCCAACCGTCAGCTATCTGATTTTTCCTCTTTGTTACTGCTTCAGCTTGCTTGTTCAGCAACCAATCGGCTATGCTATTTAGTTTCCTTAGTCTTACATTATATAGGCACATCTGTAGAGGGTTCCTTTGCTTTTTATTAACCTCGGAACTTTGTATCCCTACTGTTAATTCTATCAGTGCATTGTTTCTGAAGGGATATGGGTCTTGAAGAACCTGTTAGTTTCAAATTTGCGTTCACTAATGGTAAGCACACAACATAGGAATTCTTTTTTGGTTGGGGAGGAACGGGGAAGAAACTGAGTCATGTATAGGTGTTACATTTGCATTTACTTCTGTACAATTGGGTGAGCTGTGCCTACCATGATTTTTTTTTTCTGTTAGATACTTCCTCTGTTCCAAAATATAAGTCAATTTGCTATGCATCTTTTCTAGGCACATTCCAAGGCTATGTACCTATAGACTAGAAAAGCCAAAACGACTTATAATTTAGAACTGGGGGAGTATTCATATTGCCTAACCTTCATGTGAGGTGCATCTTTTTCAACTGGTTCTTTGGATTCCTGGGTTGTGTGGGAGTGAAATGTAGATGGATGCTTTACTGACTGGCAAGTGGTTTCAATTATATTACAGGGCAAAGGAAGGAAGAGCAGTGGAGATATGCGATGCAACAGAAGGTCGTCAGGGGCTGTAGCCTGTTCACCCTAATGTAGAGAAGGCTTTTGCTTAATTTCTCATGGTTGATACTAGTGGATGTAAAGAGGGAGGGAGAATGAATGTTGTTGCTCACTCTTTGTCTGTTAGGGTAGGAGTATTTTTATTTCTTAACCGCTGCGCCGTGGACGGAGGATGAAAAAGAGGGGAAAAAAAGGAGGATCGACATTTTATTCTGTTTGTTTTGCAGTCCTATTATAATGTAGTGAACAGGACTGGTGGGTGCTGAAAAAGCAAAACAGTATGCCATGGGAAACTGGGGATGGATGATGGACGAATAAATCGCCTCACGGGTCATGCGGTTTGCGAGACCCGTCTCCTCGCCGCCACCCCTCAGCTGCCCACTCCCTCGTGTGTGTGTGTGTGTGTGTGTGATGCCTTTGCCAAATCGGCAATTAACTTACCTGATGGAAGATCGGGCACTCCCATCTGGCCATCTCCATCACCATGAAGCATTCCCCGGATGGGTGGTAGCTTACTAAACTCTCGTTGTGCTAGTTGGAGTTATGGGTTGAATGAGTCGAGACCATAACAAGGATCCTTGAGAGAGTCATTTTGGCAATGTTGATCTTGGGACTCCCATCTCCATCACCATGAAGCATTCCCCGGGTGGGTGTTAGCTTACTAAACTCTCGTTGTGTGAGTTAGTTATGGGTTGAATGAGTCAAGACCATAACAAGGATCTTTGAGAGAGTCATTTTGGCAATGTTGATCTTGGGGATGTCGTCTTCAATTAGATTGATCATGACGTCGAAGATAGAGTGGGTGGAGTGGATGGCGTCGGGGCATAGATGCATCTGCCGAGGGAGTTCATACTAGTAGGCCGGGGAACCCAGACGGTGCAAGAGGGCTTGAGCCATGGATCTGATCCAGAAGTTGATTGCAACGTCGAGTGTTGCTTCGAAGGTGAAGATTCTGTTACGAAAAGGTGCAGACACCTCTTTATACTTAGTGATCTCATCAACAGATGAAGAGAATTAGCAGTTAGTTAGTATAAGCAGTTAACACTACGAAGGGACATGTCCCTTTGGTAGTAGACTGTTCTAGTGAACAGTTATCTTTTCCTGAACAGTCACGTCCGTACGGCGTCCGTACAACGCGATCCTTCACTTGTATATAATCCAAAGAGATAAATGAAACAGACAGTTGTTCATAAAATCTCTGTTTATTTATATTCACATTCAATACATCAAAGAGTTTCATATCAAATTCTTTATTTATATATAGTTTCTACGGAGGTCAATCTGATGGAGGAGGAATTATGCCTATTGGACGGTGGTACCACTAATTCTATACTTAGAGAAACAAAGTATTTCCAAACTCTTACAAAAAGACAAGGAAATGTTTTGACAATCGTCGGACGCGATGCTACAATAGTTGGCTCTGGTCGTGCCACTATTGTACTCCCATGGGTACCCAAATTATAATTGAGGATGCATTATTGTATCCTGATTCAAAAGCGTACCTTGTTAAGTTATAGAAATATCTATTAAAATGGTTTTCATATAGAAACCCATGATGACAATAATGAGGAAATTCTCCTTGTTACTAAAAATAACGGATATGGCAAACGAATTTGAAAGGATCAAGATGCCCAAGAGAGGGGGTGAACTGGGCTAATTCTAAATTCTTTGCAATAATTAAACCCTACACTTAGCCACTTCACCCCTTGCGCCTAGAATGTGATTCTATTATTCTACCGCACAAAAGTTTTACACCCTAAGTTCCAATCCTACTCTAGCATGGCAATTCTAGGAATATAAAGACGTGAAATGAATTGCTCAAATGTAAATGCTTAAAGTAAAGAGAGGGAAAGGAACACGGCGATGTTTTGCCGAGGTATCGAGAGTCACCACTCCCCACTAATCCTCGTTGGAGCACCCGCGCAAAGGGTGTAGCTCCTCCTTGATCCGCACAAGGATCAAGTGTTCTCTACGGGCTAATTCTTTGACACTCTGTCGCGGTGAATCACCCACAACCGCTCACAACTTTAGTTGGGTCATCCACAAGCTCCGCGGATGATCACCAAACTCCCGATCACCACCGAGCCGTCTAGGTGATGGCGATCACCAAGAGTAACAAGCACAAACTCTCACTTGACCACAACAAGCCTAATGAGAAGGGTGGATGCACACTTGCTACTCTTCTTGCACTAATAAGGCCTTAATCATGGATTCTCCAATCTTAGCTACCTCACTAGGCTCTTGCTCTCCTTTGCACTCTCAAGGGTGTTTCTCACCTGAACAAATGGGCAAGAGACCTCCCTTAGACGAGTGGAGTAAGTATTTATACCCTCTCATTTAAAACATAAAGTTTGGAGGCTGAGTCATCACTCTGCGGGGTGACCGGATGCTCCGGTCAGGGTGACCGGATGCTCCGGTCAGCACTGATCGGACGTGTCCGGTCAAGAAAAATGCTCTCTGGAACCTTACTGATGTTGACCGGACGCTGGCACCCAGAGTCCGGTCACTTCACTGTTTAGCGTCCGGTCAATTATCGGATCCTGACCAGCGTCCGGTCAGCACTGACCGGACGCGTCCGATCAGAAAAATCCCTCTCTGGAACCGCTCTGGAGTTGACCGGACGCAGAGCACCTAGCGTTCGGTCACTTTTCACTCAGCGTCCGGTCGCAACCAGACGATTTTAGTTGATCAAATAAACTGACCAGACTCACCCTTCAGCGTTCGGTCACAACCAGACCAACGTCCGGTCAGTCATTTGACCCTCTATTCACTTCCAACTCGAAATCATATGTGAATAAAGTTTGCTTCAATTGATCTTAGGGCTACTCCTGAGCTACCTAGTGCTAGTTTTGACAAGTGTGCACCACACCTAACCCACTAGACCCACCTAGGTCAAGCTACTAGTCTATACCCTCCTTAATAGTACGGTCAAAAGAAAAACAAAGTCCTAAACTACTCTAAGTGTCTCTTCAACACCAAACGACACTTAGAACTAGTCCATCATTAACCTTGTCGTCCATCCTTTGAAAATCCGAAATGATTTCCATCGTCAGGGGCATGACACCATGATTGTCCAATCAATTGCCATTACCATCCTAACTTAAATTGCCTCTATAAAACACACGTTAGTCATAATAATCTCATGTCGTTATTAATCACCGAAACCCAACTAGGGGCCTAGATGCTTTTAGAATTGTTGAAAAATTTCCTCTTTTCCGTGCGGATTGTACTACACATACATCAAACCCGTACCGCATGTTGCGTACAAGGTAATTTTTTAGAATGTTGACGCATTCAAAACCTGGCATGAACGCCTTGGCCATCCTGGTATAGGGATGATGCGAAAATTAT